GTGACAAATACATTATATACATGTAGGGGTCAGACAGTACAAATACATTATATACGTGTAGGGGTCAGACAGTGACAAATGCATTATATACATGTAGGGGTCAGACACCCCATTCCATGGTAACACACCACCACCTTTACATTGTCCCTGCCTTGGTTTCTTACCAGTACAGTAAAGACAGGCGTAGGACTGAGCACAGTGCTCGGAATGCACTTCTCCTCAGTAACAGCTATGGATAGATAGAACACACAGCAAATTAAGTACCTGCATTTAACCAAACACTTTATTATCTCAATCTTCAAACAATCCTGTTGGCAGGACTTTAAAGTTGAAGCTGCGAGACACTTGAGAGATAGTAATTGCTGACATCTGCCAGTTGATACAAGGCAGAATGAAAAACCTGTTCCCTAAACGTCTCTTGCTGGACACCGTCACTGCCTTATTAAGTTATAGATTCTCAAGTGATTTAGATTTTGTTTCCATTGATTTTTGTGTAAAAATAAAACATGTGAAGTAGATTGTATATACTTCTGTGATTCCTAAGTCACCTCCAACTAAAAAGGCTATCTGTGTGTTTACTTCAGATGCAGAGTGCGTCCAGTACTGTTCACCTCTGTGATAAGAAAAGGGATGTATCGTTGAACCTACCTGCAAACCATCCTCCACAAGAGGTACAAATATATATGTGTTATTCATACCAAACTGAATGAGAGAAGAATATTAAAGTATCATGTGGTCTAACCCCCTTTTCTGTGTATGGGAAGCTAATGTCCAGGGAGTGTTTATACCTTGTTATGGAGCCATGACAACCTCTAAGCTGAGCTCCCACTCCGTCCTACGCGATGCTCTAGGGTAGGGTACAAGTAAACATCCGTGATCGTTGCTCCACTGCTTATACCTCCCTCTCACCTCATAGTAAGTCATAACAGAAGGTTCTGTTGTTCCCCAAGAAGTATTTCTCTAATTGATCACTTTATGAATCATTTTAAGATTATATGTCCATTTTATAGATTCGTAAAAGTAATAGTACATTCAAAAGATCAGTAAACATAACACAGAGGGGTTTTACATTCGTTTATACAGTGTGTGCATGTGTGTGTGTGTGTGTATGTGTATGTGTATGTGTATGTGTATGTGTATGTGTCTGATTCAAAGGATAGCTTGCAGAAATCATTCTCTCCTTTGCTGTGTGGTTCCCAAGGATCAAATTCCTTTGCTATGTGGTTCCCAAGGATCAAATTGAGGTCATCCTCTTGGCAGAAGCTCCTTTCCCCACTGAAACACCTCACTGGTCCAAATACATAATTTCGAAACCACTTTTATGTAAACTATCTAATTTAATCTTTGAATATATGCTAATTTTGATGGAATCTAAAACCTAGAGTGTTTCAATGCATTGTTGAATGGCAGTGAGCAATTCCATGGCAGAGCTGGGAGTGAAGATCTTCATGATATTTCCGAGGGTTTTCATCCTGTCAGGTTGAAAGAACCTGCAAGCAAGCATTTGCTCTAAATCAGGAGACAGCCATGAGTTTCTGGTTCACCATTAGAGCCGCTGAGCAGGTCCACTGAATTCTGTAGGGTCTATAGCTATTTCCAGAACATAACTAT